TTCAAGGTAGATCCTAGTGTGTGTGTACGTGAGTGCGAATGAGAGTGTGTGCGGCTGATGGTGGATACACTGTACATGTCGGAATTCAGACTGGCGCTCAGACGGCATAGCTGCAAGATGTGACACGTTGACTCAAGTTGAGTTCCAGACTGATGGCCATATATCTGAGTTTTCTGCATGGGCGCACAGCGCCATCTCACTCTTGTTGCTGATCCTACTTTGAGAAAGTTGTCTGCCATCGGCACCTGCATGTCTGCATGCCCAAAGTGAAGTCGAAGATAAGCCTGCTTGCAAACCGGACTGGAGCCCCCCAGAACGGATTTGAAAGAGAAAAACAAAAGGAAACTCATTATATACCCTATGTACGTTGTTTTCAAATACAACTTACCCCGTACGTTCTATTCATGTACGATGCACTTATGTTTTTTTTGAGTTAAGACGTTAGTCACCTCAGAGAGCCGACAAAGCAGTATAACCCACCCACGGACTTTAAGGAGCTGAATGAAGCAATTTCGACCACCCACAATTCCTTCAGAATGAACCAAACAGGTCTGGCCAGACACCATGTCTTGAGAGAGAAACCAGTCAGTTGTCTGAACACAATCATAAGCACGCTGTTCAGCTTGTTCATTCTGAGGTAGAGGGGGAGGGGGGTAGCAGAGGATGATTTCCCATAAGTTTCGTGTTCAGCTACCACCTTTTCCTTCCGTGATGAAAACAGCTGGATATGCACCCTCCCCACTTGCTGACAGGCTTCCACTAACCGTGAAATTAACTGCCTTTCCTAAATAAACCCCAAGAAACACATGCCCAAACTCAGCGAAAATGAATGGACCAAGGTGACAACCCACAATTTTTGTCAGACTGTTCCATGCAGTTCTGGCCACATGCCATGTCCCTAGAGAGAAACCAGTTGCCTGAACACCATCATAAGCAGGCTGTTCAGCTCGTTCATACAGAAGTGGAGGGGGAGGAGGATAGCACAGGATCATTCACCATAAACGTCGCGTACAAGTTAACAGCTTTCTCTTCCGCAATGAAGACAACCGAATATGCACCCTCCGCATGATCGTAGGCCTCTGCTGACAGTGAAATAAACAGCGTTTCCTAAACAAACACCAAGGAACACATGCCCAAACACAGCCAACTATCAAATGCCTATCGACTACTGAAAGGTACAGAGAAGAACCTGTTTTAGTTGTTCAAAAAAAAAAAAAAAAAAAAAAAAAAACCTGACCCTTGCTTAAGAGCTAAACTTCTGCTGAAGTTAAAAACAAAAATGGAAATTTATCAAACTTGAAACTACCACATTGTGTAGTGTCAAAGGCGAGAGTCAGAACATGTACAGGTAGACAGGGGTGTACAGTTGGTTAGACTGATGATAGGGGGCGAGAGTTCTATGACTGGGAGTGGTGCGAGAGGGGGTAAGGATTGTGTGTGGACGTGGTGGTAAGATTACCAGAGTGGGTGTCAGCGGGATTTATGCACCAACAGGAGTGTATTAAGAGTTGTTGTGGTCAGGATACTGGCGCGAGTACGGTGTCATTGTGCCGCAGACCGGGCGTGGAGCCCCTCTAGGTTCTCCCATGCTGTTACATGCCCAGCTGGGCAATGTGCACATATAACCAAGGATCCGCAATATGATGAAAAGGACTGAATGGACAATGCAGTGCAAGTAGAATCTCAACAAGCAGTGTGCATTCTGATACATTGCAAGGGACCTGACTGTCCTCCTCTTGCTGGAGTGTATCACAACGCATGCAGGGACATTGACTCACACAAGATGAAGCTCGCACATAGTCCAAATGAGAGGGGATAAAACCAAGATGCGCAGCTCAATTAATCATTAACACATTATACAAGAGTATATCGAGATCCAAAGTTCAGCACCCAATATTATCACGAGTTTCTTCTTCCTTCCGTCTCACGAATGGGGCCTGGCTCAGTCAGCGCCAACTTCTGAACTCAAGTACAGCGCACAGCAGGTAAGTATCCACCATAGCCAGATCCTACCCCACTCTCTTCTCTCTTCTCTCTCGTGGATCTCAGTCTTGATTCTCCTGTCCCACCATACATGCACACTCCTACTACGAAGATCTACTTTGAATGCTACTCACTGTAGACCAACTACTAATCCACTACCTATACTAACTAGCTGGCGCAGATATGGCTGCCACTTGCAAGCCTGCGCCCAGCTCTCTTCCTCCTCTCAGCGCAGCTTCTCCTCCAGCGCTAACCCAGCCAGCCAGCGCACAAGTGCATACAGCACTTCCACGCCAATATGCCAGTGGGAATCTGATGTCAGGGGAGGCTGGCCTATTGCTTTATACTGCTGGCCTCCCCAGGCGAGGTCTGTATTGGTCTGCATTGGCACTTTGGACCTCCTTCAGTCCCAGACCCAAGCATATGTGTGTGTCCCAGTATTTCCCCCTCAGGGTCTGCTGCTGCTGCGGCCATCTGGCCTGGATTTCGGACTGGGTGTCTGAATCTAGACCCCATATTAGACTTAGACAGAACTGGGAACCTGTCCTTTGACTTCCTTTTGGACAGACACACATTTTGCACGAACAGACACTCATACTGCACGAACAGACACACATGAAACGGTTTTCACCTTTTAGCAGTAGCAGATGCAGAACCCAGGGTTCGATCCCTAGACCTCACCCTACCCATGCACAGTATCTGTGTAGACCCCGAGAATCGAACCTGTGACCTGTGTATTAGTAGGCAGTTGGTAGGCCTGTCGTAGGTCCATAGGCAGCAGGGGTTCGATCTGTAGGTCTATAGCGTAGGAGTCTTAGTGAGTTCCGGAAGCTTAGCTGTAGACCTTCTAGAAGATAGGCAAGTGGGCAAGTGGTCAAGTGGTGAGGCAAGTGGTGGACTAAACCGCAGTGCAACAGCAGTACAACGTCGGTAGGATAGCGGTGCGTCCACAGTCAGTCAGCGGAAGGTCCAGTCAGTCCCAGTCCGGTCCAGCAAGTACCACAGGGGG